TGATAGATCAGAAAACTGGGCTGGAGCTAACAGGATGAAATTAAATGCTGACAAATGCAAGATGCTGCACTTTAGGAAGAATAATTTAGACCACACAGACAAAATGTTTGGATGACAGCACTATGGAGAACTAGTCTTGGTGGATCACAGACTGAATATGAGTCTTCAGTGTGATACCGTTGCACAAAAGGTGAGTTTGGAATGCATAAATAGGAATATTAAGTGCAAGATACAAGTACTGCTAGTGCCTCATTTGTTGGCACTGCTTAGGCCTCGTCTAGAGTATAGCAGGTAGTTTTGAACTTCACCTTTTAAAAAAGGACATGGAGAAATTAGAGAGGGTCCACAGGTAGGTAGCAAAAATGAAAAAGGGTTTGGAAAGCAAGTCAAACAAGTTGAGGTTGAAGGAAATATGCATGTTTAGCTCATAGGAAATGCACCTAAGAGGGGACATGATCTTCAAACACCTGAAGGGCTGTCATAAAGGAGGAAAACATCTGTTTCTCTCTTGCTGCAAAGAGTAGGACATGGACCAATAACTTGAAGTTGCAGCAAAACAGGATATCAGGAAAAAATTCTTCACTGTTGGAACAGTGAAGCAGTAGAATAGACTGCCTAGGGAAGTTGTGGAATGTTCAGTATTGGAGTTGTTCAAGCAGAGGTCAGATAAGCACTGATTATGGAAACTTAGCAGCAGCTATGCCTATGGTCTACTATGAGTATTTCCCATGCTTCTGGATTTTGCTGGCTGACACATGGGGCCAGGAAACTTCACCCCCTCCTCCCCTCCCACTGTTGTTGTATGTCAGACTCCAGTTTTTTCCCCACCTTCCTCAGAAGCACTGGGTGTTGACTGCAGTCAAGGCTGGAAATTTTGACTGTGGACTGCCAATACTTCTGCTGAAACTAAATCCTACAGGTTCCTGGCTCGAGGGTCCTGCTCATCCCCTCAAGATCTGGCAGATCACCATACTTGGGGTCAGGAAGGAATTTTACCCCATGGTCAGATTAGACTGTGGTAGTTTTTGGCCTTCCTCTGTAGTGTAGGACATGACCTTCAATGGATTTCTCGGGCATAAACAAACCCTTCTAGCAATATGACAACATAACTGCCATTGTCGTCCCACTTTACCTGTGGCAGATGAGAGTCCTATGCTTTGTGGAAGACTGTGTAGTTTTAGTAACAGGTTAGACAAGGATCTGTCTGGAAATGTTTGGATAGGGATGATATTGCCTCAGGCAGGGAGTTAAAATAAAATGACCTCCAGAGATCCGTTCCAACCTACCCTGTGATTCTCTGAACTGGAATTCTATCTGTAATTGATCGTTAAACACTGTAATAGAAAAAATGTGAAAAATTAAAAGATCCTTATGACAAGTTCCATAACACTTAGTAAAATAAAGCGACTTTCTTGAGACCACTTTTATAGATTTGTCATAAGTGAGACCAGGATTGGGTCCTCATGTTATAATTATATGCCCACTACCGAGTGCAGCCCCCTGATACTGATGCTCACATATAAAAGGGGTGAGGTAATTAGGACTACCATACAAAAACATTCTTTGGGAAAAGGAAATATCTGAATTTTGGTATAAAACAGTACCTCTACATTGCAAGACAATGATTAAGTGCTGTCATTTAAACATCCTTCATTATTTTATATTTCTTAGTAAACCTACCAAAGATTTCAAATGAACAAACACCTAGCATAAGCATATTTCCTTATGCTTGCATCTGATTATTGTCCTTTATTACTCCACAAGATCTCAACAATGTGCTGGATAGAATTATGAGATCTGATAGTTTGTTCTGCCTATTGCATTTTCACCTGAGTACATTTTCCCAGAAGCAGACATCATCTATAGGAAACATCAATGAGAGTATCATTTTTAAATAGCCCAGCTGATATTGACAACTGTGACTCCTGATTTGGGGGAAATAGGAAAAATCTTCTTAATCATGATAGAAGAATAGCCAGCTTGATAGAAGAATCAACTGCTCTCTAGAAAATATTAGAAATACTGAGGTAACTCTGGGTCAAAACTTTTTCTGGTGTGACCTAACAGCTTCACTAACTAAAAAAGGAGTAGTAATGATTTACAATTAGAATCACTTGGGCCCCTGCAACACATTACATATGCAATTAATGAGATAACTGTGCAATAAATTTAGACCAGCCACACGTGCAGTGATTATCTGCCATAAAAATGCCTATCCAACTATAAAAAGCCAACCAGCTACATAGTTAGTGCTTGAACAACTCTATAGCTAGTTTCTAACCAGCTTTAATTTGAACAAGTGGTAGGGCCCTTACACATCTAGCAACACAACTGCTAGCACCTTGACCGCTAGCACTGCGGCTGAAAGGGACTTGGGGGTCTTGACTCACCACAAGATGAAAATGAGCCACCAATGCGATGCTGTGGTTGGCAAAGCAAACTAAACTCTGGTGTGCATCCACCAATGCATTGCAACCAAAACCAGGGAAATCATCCTCCCGCTTTCCTTGGCCTTGGTGAGACCGCAGCTGGAGTACTACATCCAATATTGGGTCCCCCACTTCAGGAAGGATGTGGATAAGCTTGAGAGAGTCCAGAGGAGAGCCACTCATATGATCCAAGGACTGGAGGGAAGGCCGTAAGAGGAGAGGCTCAGAGACATGAGACTTTTCAGTCTGGAGAAGAGAAGGCTCAGAGGGAGACTTGGTGGCAGCCCACAATTACATAAGAGGGGTATATCAGGACCTGGAAGAACAGCTGTTCACCAGAGCTTCCCAAGGGATTACAAGGTCTAATGGCCATAAACTCCAAGAAGGCCGATCTAGACTAGACATAAGAAAAAAGTTCTTTACGGTGCAAGTGTCCAGGGTCTGGAACAGACTTCCCTCCAGAGGTGGTGCAAGCACCTACTCTGGACTCTTTCAAAAAACAAGTGGATGTATTTCTTGCTGGTGTCACTTGATCCCAGCTGACTTCCTGCCTACAGCAGAGGGGCTGGAATTGATGATCTCATGAGGTCCCTTCCAGCCCCTAATGTTTATGAAATGTCTGAAATCTATTACATCTATAAAATCTGGGACGCGGAACAGGATCGGAGTCATAGATGTCTGAGAGATGAAACACAACTTAAGCCCTAGTCTGCAGATCACGACAGAGCAGGTAACAAACTATCACTATTCACTATTTATTTCAACATCCACTTGCAAAGCATAATCATGCAACTAAGAAAGCAAAGTTAATTAATTAATTCATTGTCTTGTATTTTCTATGCCCATCCATAAGTATTACTCTGAAGAGGACACCATTCTATTTCCCTTTGTACACCATTTTTCTAGCTACATACCTGGCCATTTTTGGCCAGATAACAAAATCTGAAATTGTACGCAAGTGAAAAATGCTACTTATGCATCTAGAAAGCTACTATTTAGGTGTAAAAAGGGAAGCAGACTTCTACCCAAAATTATTGAAACACTGCTAAAATGTGATTTGAACCATTTGACTAACTATAGATTCTTACAGGTGAGACACCGTTTTGTATGTCTGATTTTCCAGCATTTAGAAAAGCCATTCACCACATAGCAGTTAACAGTATAGGTTCTCTCACCTAGAAGCAATTCAGTCCACTTACCAAATTATTCCTGGACATCCCTTTAACATTTCTCTTTCCTACCATCTAAATTGCAATTACATTTTTGTTGTAGATTTAATACATTCTTTACTCAAAATATTTAAAATGTGACATCTATGTAAAATACTTTACTAAACCCTTCATCATGAGGAAAAATTCAAATCTAGAAAAGTATAGCTTCTATATACACATTCTATGATAAACTTTTCTTAAATATCTGGCTGAGTCTGAATCAGATCACTGAGGAACCACTTGATTTAAAAGGTATACCAAGCAACTATTCAAACAAAGTATTTCTACATTACATGTGAAGAAAGAAGTGATGTTCCTTTTTATCAACATAAAGAGAGCCCTTTGGGGAGATTCAAGAAGATAAGTATGGCTGATAAACACACAGAGATTTTAAACGCATCAAAATCAAATACATGTTAAAAAAAAACAATGTCAAGACATGAAAGGCAATACAAGACAAACTCATTGACATTAGGATTAGAAAACAACCACAGACAACTTCAGAAGTTACAAAACACATAAAAGAGCCAAAAGTTGTTAGTTCCTCTTAAACACCGAGAAAACACTGAGTTGATCTAGATGCCACTGAAAAACAAGTTCCGGTAACAATGAGAAAAGCAGCACCTTGTCACAGCCCTTCCTGATTATTCCGTCTAAATGGCTTTAATATTAAATTATTTCTTCTTTTGTGTTACTTTTTAAGTGCACAGAAAAGGCACACGTATTATTTATCACTACTTAACATAACCATAAAAAAATAGCAAACTGAATAAACAGGATGGTAACATTTTTTCTTGGTTTCAGAGCAAATTCTTAAATTAAAGAAAGAAGATTTTTAGGTGACCACTCATTTTGCCCAAATAATACCCTAATTTTTTAACATATTAACCACTTCTAAACATTTCATTTTGGCAAATCCTTGGTATTTTATTAAACATAATGGACTTTTATGAATCCTAATTTTAATGATCTTTGATTTTTTGCAGAACTAATTTTTTTTTTTAAGTATTTGGTTCCATTCACTGAAATTACTGCACATACTGAAAAATATGATAAAGTAATGAGCAAATGAGAACAGCTACCACAAGTTGTAGAAACCAAATGCCCTTCTAGAGTTCTTAAAAAGAAAGAAAGAAAGAAAGAAAGAAAGAAAGAAAGAAAGGAAAGGAGAGAAAAATCATTCATGGTTATTCATTTGGAAATCTCTCCTCTAAAAATGCAAAATAAAAACAGATTACACTCCAAATTCAAGATATATAAAATCTCTCCAATGTGAATAGATTAAGATAAAAAATGTAAAGGTGACAGCATGATACGCATATGCTTTTCCACACGTGTATAATATACATGAAGATCTTACCTTTTTCACTGACACTTTCACTTTCTATTTCCACATCTTCACAGCTAGTATATTCTGGTGTTGATGCGCCCTCTTCCTCTGAGCTACTAACTGACATCTGCCTTTTCTTTCCACCTCTTTTTGCTCTATGAGGTTTTGGAGGGGATGGCCGCACTGATTCTGATTGATCAGAACTAAGGGAATCATTTCTTAGCATAGTTTCCATTTTTTCCCGCTTTGCTTTCCGCATGAGAATAGCAGAACTAGGATCAAGGCGACTCTGTTTTTTAAAGGAATCATGGTTCTTGGATTCAAGGTGTTCTACTGGAACTGGACTATGTCTGGGAGTTGGTGGGCTATGATTAGCAAATTGTTTAGAAACAGAAATTCGTATGTCGCCTGTTCTGTCTATAGAGTATGATCTCTGAGTTTCCACAAGAGTTTTTCTGTCCTGAGTTCCCTGTAATTGCAAGCGTTTTCCTAATTTATTCTCAGGTACTTCTGCTTCCTCCATTTCTGTATGTGGCAAAGCTACATCACTGTGCCTCCTTTCATGCCGTGCTTTAGAAACTTTTGCATGCATACGCATCTGTTGTTCCTCAGGATGTGGTTTCACAGGATACCTTGCCAGATTTGGGTCACTCCTATATCGAGTGTGATATTCATCTTCTTTCCTTTGCTTTTCTTCATCTGCTACCTTGCCTTCCTCAAGTTTTTCTGGTAAGTCTGGATAGTCTTGTGACCTTCCTTTCTCCAGTTTTCGACTTTCATGCCTTTCTTTACGTTCTCTGTCATCAGTTTGCCCTTCTTGCTGCAGTGAGGATTTTGGCACCCGCTTGCGTTCACTTTTGAGACCTCCTTTTCCATTCTGTTCTGAAACCAACAGTGTCTTCTTCCTACCATGAAAAGTTGTACAATAACGTAACAAACTTTATAATTAAAATGGTACAGAGAGAAGCAAAACATACTGGAGTTGTATAGGTTCTTGCTACGGAACAATAAAAACAATAAAAGCTATGGAAAACGGCATGGAAAGGCATTTACTTTACTAACAATGAATCTTTTCATTATTATCCTTATTTCCTTCCCATCCCTTCAAAAAGTAAAAAGTAGGGTAAAAATAATACTTTTTATATTCTAGTACCTATAATTAATGCATAAAATTACAAAAAAAAAAAATCAACAAAACCTAGTTAAACAAAACAATCATCTGTAACCATAACATTAGTTGTTATGGGATTCACTAAGGAATCAGATATATCAGTGCTGGAAATACAGCAGATAACAGAGAAATAAAATTCTTCCCTATCCATTTTTTACCCAGCAGCAGTGAAAGGTGGAGTTCATGGCTTAATGATTCACACATACCACATTTCAAGCATGTTGGCATTATGTACATGAATTGCAAACAGAAACTCTCTCATACATGTAGTAGCATAAAGAGAATTAATAGGTGTACAACAAAAGAATCAATCCAGAAAAATAATATTTGTTCTATCTTGCATAATTTTACTTAACCCTGAAGAAAACAAGTACCAATATCATTGGCATCTACAGATAAAGAAAATCAGAACAGGCCTTTTGAAACAAATTAATGGAATATCCAATGTTCAGAAATGGGAAAGGACAATTATTTGCTGTATTATATTATATAACCAAAATACACAATAATGAAGTTGCTTGAAAAGTAAGCCCTTTTTCATAATATTTACATGTGCTGGGTTAATTCAGTATCATGAGTTCAGTTTTATACAACTGTACTGACAGACAGGAAAAGTAACACTAAATATGTCTCTGGATGACTGTTCTTTTAAAAAATGGCACCCATTTCCAGCTATTCAGTCTTAGAAAGCAAAAAACAGTCCCAGTGGACGTGTCTACACATGCATATTAATACAACACAATAAACTCCAGTGCTTTAGTTTATTGCTCTGGGCATGCAGTTTGCCTGTGTGCCCAGAAGCGCAGCACGTTGAGCCAGGTCAGAGCAGCCCCAGCTGGCAGGGGGCCCAAGGGGTCAGCTTGCCAACCCAGGGCTGCTTCCCCCGGCTCAGCGTGCTGTGGAGGGGCTGCCTGGGGCACAAGGGTGCTTCAGTGTCAGGCTAGCTGGCAGGAAGCCCCCACAGTGAAGCACCCTCCTGCCCTGCTGGGGCAGTGTCTACAAGTGCGCTGCTGAAGATTAAAAGTTCTGACAAAGAATAATACTTGTACTTACAAATACTATCCTCCTGCAGAGTTAATTAACTTACTCCAAGTCAATAGGGGTGCACACACAGACACACATTTATTGTGCAGCTAATTAGTCTACTGCACAATAAACATCTCATATAGGTGCACAAAGTAAAAACCAGTTAGGCAGTAGATTGAAGATTAGGAAAAAAATCAAGAATGCATAGTCATTACTGTTTGTGTGTGGTTCTACAATTTATGACAGAGGTCACAACTGTGTGTGTGAGAGATAATTACCCACTGTCATTTGGTTATGAATGCTGTGTGTTGAAAACTGCAGCAAGTATGTCAGTGTAATTTTAAAGGCATTTTAAAATAGAATGAAAAGTTACTAAAAATATTGTATGAATGGGCAAATTTGTGACTATTGTTGTTGCCTTACTTTTGGTCAGGAAAAAAAAAGTCTATCAAGCATGCAAAAGAGATGGGTCTTCTACAGTAATTACAGAACTCTTCTAGTCTATTGTTGCCTTTCAGCTGACTGATGGTTACAAAAGACCAGTTTTAAAGTGAAATGATCCTTCAGTCAGGTAGGGTGACAATTTGATTGCTTACATTATGTGACCGGTTTTGCTACACTTTTCATGGAATCCTGTTCCTCTTTAACCAGGGCAGACCTAACCACAGGTAGGCAAGATGCAAATAACCCTTGCTCAGTCGAACTTTCCATTTTAGTAGTCCCCATGAAAAGCTGCTTTCACCTCTGCCCCTCAAGTTCGCCAACCAACCTTTCAACTGCCACAATCCTTCCCTCTTGGTTTGCTTATCACTTTCCAGTTAGTAGGCAGAGGAGCAGAAGATTCCTCTTTAGTTGATTCATTACAACATACAGCCAGGCGATACTATGAATCATTACCATACTAATTACTATAAGTGCTTATGGATAGCTTTATTTTCAAATACAAAATGCTATCATTTCTATATTGTATAGTTACTATTATATCTTATGTTAATGAGGTCTTTCGGCCCATTATTTTGTAATTATTGCAGTGTAACATGATATCTTTGGCAAAACTATGAAAGAGCATGTGTAAGAACATTGGAGATGCTTCTTAAATAACTAAGTTCATTATGTTCAGGTCAAGTTTTGGTAATACTATCTTTTAAAGTTTCCTTTCAATTATGAAATGGCTTTTAAAATCCCAACAGGCACAACAGGGACATTTATAATGAGTAGCCTATGATTTTGCATACATTAATACCTAGGACATAAAAATTGTAAAGCAGCTACAATTTTATGGTTAAACTTTGGCTTCATAGAATTTACTGCATACTGTAGACAACATACATCTTAGCATATTATTGCATTTAATTGTGAGTGTCCTTAAAAGCATGCAAGACAGAGAAGCAATCTCCTAGAAAGATGCTAATCTGTAATATTATTTAGAAACTAGGTCATGTACAGTGGATCTATAGAGGGTCTAAGGAAATACTGTATTACCTTTCTCTGGGGGGTTCACTTCTAGACCTGGATGAAATATGCTTTTGCTCCAGACCCATTGCTTGTTGTAATACTTCTGCTCCTTTCCTCCTGTCAGACTGCACGCTAGAAGAGGAGATTTCCTGTGATGAGGCAGCTGCTGTACTTAATGGAGTCTGAGACCTTGATCTCTCCTGAAGCCTTGCCTTTTTTTCTCTAGGTGCGTCAGAACTTCCACCAGTAGCTGTGTCACTTAGTGCTCCATCCTGACTGGGTGATGGTTGTGGACCACTTCCAAAAAACCATGCTCCTGATTTGGTTAAGATTTCTTGTTGTTTTCGACATAAATTGCATACCCACATAACCTAATTGAAGATAAAAAAGAATTGTATCAGCATTCTCGAGCCCATTGTATGCTTGTTATACTAGTGTGCAAATATAGTGTTTCTCCTCCTTTTTTTAATTGGGTGATGTTACTGTTCATGATAGTGCTCATAACATGCTTGTGAAAGTGCTAATTCCACTGAATAGGGGCAAGCATAATGCAAGCAAGTGCTGTGCAAGCTTCTCCATAATGTCATATCAACATACATCAATCTTGACCTGCAACAACACTAGTAACCCAGTGCTGAGCCTCTTTGAGTAATTTATAATAAGGCTGAAGATTTTTTTTAATAGAATTTAGAAAATCTTTTAATGTGGAAGAAACATCAGGATGGAACTACCCAGTCATGAGATAAACTTGAAACTGGGATTATAAAGCTCAAGCCAATTAACTGTCCCATTTCAATCACAACATTAGTGCAAACTATAAAAGAAGCAGGCATTATTACAGTATTTCTCCTTGTTCTTTTCTTTTTATACAATATAACATCAACATCTGAATTCTAGTGACTAGTTTCAGCTATGGCAAACATAACTACTTACCAATGATGTAAGACTGAAGCTTAAAAAAAAAAAATCTACTGCTACGTGACTAAATGCAACAGTGAAATGGACAGATGAGTATAGTACTTTACAAGACTGAAAATCTTATTAAATAAAAAGACCAAACATTTGCATAATCAAAAAATGATCATATATAAAATCTCTAAGCTAAAAAAAAAAGAGCAACTGTTCCAGTCACTGGATATCACCACTAAATCCTCTCTGTACAGAGGGTTTCTTTTTTTCCTTCTAGTGGCCCTAAAAAACAACAAAAAACCCAAGCCTACACTTTAGGATTATAAAAAGATTGGGGTTAGTTTGTACTGTAGGTTAAAATAATGAGAGCATTTAAAGTTAAAAAATTATTAGGAAAAGAAGTGGAGTTTTAGAGAAAAAAAAAAGAAGAGCAAGATAATTCAAAATGAGATGTCAGGGAAGCTAAAATAGGTAGAAGACAAAAACCAGAATCTTGAGTGCAGAGATTGAAGAGTAAAACAATGGAAAATAATAATAAAAAAAGAAAAGTAATGTAAATTAATATTGAGAGGATTATTCTTTTTTCATATTTTAGCTATTATTTTCTGTAAAGGGACAGATATGCACTGAACATTTAAAACATAAGAAATTTGAAGAAAAATAACCATTTTATAGGAAATAAACTGTAGGTAAACTGCAGATATGACAATATCAACTTTCTTTGAATATCATCAATAAAAGGAAAAATATTTTCAGCCATTTTATATAGCACATACTTAATAATTATTAAGAAGGTCCTAAATACATTAATATTCTAAAGAATATAACTGGACTAACAAGTGTACAACCTCTATAGCAGTGTCTGAACTCTAGTTAGGGGGTTGAGGGTGGGGGATCAAATATCTTTCCCCGCAGCCATATCTACATTGTGTCTTTAAACAATGAGTAGGCTTTCATTTTTCCTCTTTTCAGGAAGATGATGAAATAGCCATTAAAATAGCTTTCATTAATTCAAAAAGCTTCTAATCAAAAGTTACAATTATTCCAATAGCTGCACAAACATGTCCTGTGTCAAAAATAGAAGCATAACAAGCCTCAGTGGGATAATAAGCACAACAGCTTCCCATTTACCACAAATGCTAAACATTACAAAAATCTTCTTTTCATGAGATTATGCCATATCTTCTTCATCTTAGGGATTCTGATTTTGAAACAGGATGGAAGGACAGAAAAGATATGTGATCTTGAAAAATCAACAAGTTAACATACAGTCTCAACTAGGAATAACTCATTTTAAATGTTCATATACAATCTAATTCAGTTTTTAGCCTAATGTGCATGTTTCAATGGTGTATAGTCATTAATCAAAAAGGTATGATCACACATAGTAAACTCAGTCTCCCTCAAAAATAGTAATAAAATATACAATGAAGGTGTTCTGAAAAACTTGACAAGAACAAGCATTTTTAAAATTCCAGAATAGTTTAAATAGTACAGTACAGTACATGTACAACGTCAGGAAAAGACTAACACATTTCAAACTAAAATGAAATAGTTTTAAAAAGTCCTTAATGTTCCTTTATTTTAGCGAGAGTAATTCTTTTAATCAAACTATAACACAAGATATTTAGAAGAAAATTTGAATGCTAAATAAAAGAAATCTTGATTTTTAACAATATCGCAGAAATTAAAAGGCAGTAATTGCCCATGACCAACATCATCCCTAATTTAATATATCAGATCTAAATATACCTATAAAATAAAAAATCCAAAGTAATCTTTTCTTTGTATTTACTAATATAAACTTACCTAATTTTATTTTGCTTGGCTATCAGAATTAGTTGTTATGGACAAAAATATGAAACTTAAACAAGTGGTAACAGTTAAGGAATAAGACACACAGAATACAAAAGGGAGAAATACTATACGTGAAATTAAATAAAACATTTCCCCATAGCTGCATTCGGACACAGCATACACACCAAGCAGCACAGATTACATATGAAGGAAATCTGCATTATACTCACATAGAAGCTACACTACCATCTCTGTTTAGGATTCTCTTCAGGATTTAGCTATTAAATGCTATGTTTGCCTTGAGCTATATTCAGTCCAAAAGGAAAAATAACAAAAGATTTTCTTAGCAGGAAAAAAAAAAAGACTTGAGGTGACATAACAGTTTCAGTAAGAAATCTGTATATTGAAAAACATTTTTAGAGAAGTATGTGGAGCAAGCAATCTAGCAGCATGCAGGAATTATATCCTGATTGAATATACTGGGATGTGGTCCAAACTAATCTAAACTAAAGCAGTTCTGTGTAATAACTTATTTTAACAATCCACAGATGTTAGGCAACCAAACAAACACTCTGATGAAAGATTACAGTGCTCTAACGTGGCTTCTGAACCTCCATGCAATGCATCAGGAAAATAGAGAGAGACAACATTACTTTGACCTACCATTAGCAAAACATTTTCTTTTTAGTGAGTTCTGATGCAGCACTAGAGTAGGTCATTCAAGAAACCATTAGATATTTTTTCTGTAAACTTCTAAGGGATAGTATTCCTAATGTGCATAGAGCTATTAGAACCAAAGAGTATGTATTAAGGGGTACTCTTCATTCCAAAAGTTTATATGAATGAAATTGGGGGGAAAGTGCATTTTCACAGCATAGCAAAAGAGCCCTAAGTTTTACAGCTATGTTACAAACCCAACAACGCTCACATAGGATTCAACTCAGGTGGGTCAATGATTCCCAAAGATTCAGGTAGAAAACTTTACAGGCTTAGTGGAAGCATGCTTTAGGCAGTAGGACTCCATGCTTGCCCTTGTGAAATGTGGGGTATTTCATTCACAAACAAAGATATGCCTCACACTTACTCTTACAGGCACTGCCAAACGTGATCCATATCGGGAAGGAACAGTTTTCCTGTACTAACACAACATGAAATTCCAACTTGAAAGTACCCATATGAAGTAACAAAGAACCATAATATACAACAAAAACACACATTTTCAATGACAAAAATAAAAATACTGCCTTATCATTATATTTTTTCTAAACTATAATAGTAGTAGCGAGATAAAGGCTGTTTCAAATTCTGCTCGATTTTTTTCAATGTTTTAACCTATGCAACCTGCAAGAGGAAATTAGGATCATTATTAAGGAGAATATAAACTTAGGGTTTGAACATTCATGACCCTTGTGAGGTATTAATTCCCTCTAAAGGCAATGCAAGTTTTATTTGAATTAGATATACAAGATCAGATTTTTGTCTGGTTCAGTTACTTTAGACCTGTCTGCATAGTTCTGTGCCTTTACTTTTGAAAAGCACTTTTAAAAAAGGGCAAATTAGTTTTTAAAAAATGTGTTGGAAAATTCACCAATAGCTACACTGGCAGGTGCACATCATGAATTACATGAACTGTGAATGTTTTTGGTTTTTTGTTTGTTTTTTTGGGGGGCGGGGGGAAGTGTCTGATAGATAGATGTACATCTGTTTATCTTCAATATTGACACTCTATTGTTTATCTTCTTCCATCCACTTAAAGACAAAAGTCATTTTTACACATACCCCAATTCTGCACACAGATCTGTTCAGCTAGACCAGGGGTGGGCAAAATACAGCCCGCAAGCCGGATCCAGCCTGCCAGGCACTTCATCTGGCCCGGTACCCGCCCCCTCCAATGAATTGCATGCCACCCAGCCCTTCTGTCCATGAGGGTGACAGTGAGGCACCCACGTGTACAACCCCCCAACAAACCCTTTGGTCCTCACTCCCACCCTCTTGTGCAGAAGGGGTCTGCCCAGCCAGCAGCTTCCATGAGAGGCTCCTGCTACAGCCAGAACATGCTTGCTCGGGGCAGCAGGTAGGGAAGCGTTGGGGCTGGGGGGTGAGGGGTTGAGTTGCAGTTGGGCGGAAGCGGGAGTGAAGCACAGAGCCTGTGCCCAGAGGGGTAGTGGGAATGTGGAGCTCAGTTGGGCAGGGTGTGGGTGCAAGGGTGGGGGGTGTAGGGACCTCCTACACTCTCCCCTCATGGCGTGCAGCCCCAGCTGCCAGCAGCAGCAGCAGGCAGGTTGGTCAGGACACTCATGCCCAGCATAGAAATTTGATGGGGCATGGCTATGGCCAGCACTGTGCAGGAGGAGGGAGCAGAGCCCACCCTATTGCCAGGGCTCCATGCTATGCACCTGCAGCTCCAGCACTCACAGCAGGGGAAGCCCAGCACTGCAGCCTGCTGCTTCCCCTGCTGCCTACTGCACAGGTCCTCTGCCAAGAGTGGAGGGAGCCCCACCTCCTGCTTCTCCATGGAGTCCCGCATGGGGCTTCCCCACTGCAGGTGTGCGGTGTGAAGCCCTGGCAATATGGCAGGCTCTGCTCCCACTCCCCATGCAGCGCTGACTGGAGCCATGCCCCACTAGGTACCTGCACCAGGCATGAGCGCCCTGACCTCTCCGCC